CACCTGTGTATCCAGCTCTCCCTACTATAGCAGTATTTCCCAATTATCAATCCTCATTGCACCATTTTCATTATTTTTGCACACTACTGATATTTTTCAGTAAAATTTATTAAAACTAGTTTTATTCTAAATATTCCTGATGTCACAGAAGTTATACTTTTTCCAAGATATTGAATGTATACAATATAAAAAAGTGTATTACCTAAAAATCACGTATAGCAATGACTGATATATATATATATAACAATTTGAGTTGCATCACAAACTAGTAAATGGAAGATCAAATAAATTAATTTTATAGTTTTGACAATATCAACTACACTCAGAATTCAAATGCGATGAAAGTAACTGCCTCTGTTCCTAGACTACACTACCCTAGTTCTTTTAAAACTTGCTACTCTTCAAACTACTTTTTATTATTTATTTGGCATAAGGTCTCACTATGCAATTCTGACTCAGATTCATAGTGATCCTTCTGTCTCAGCCTCCTCAGCACTGAGGGTGGGGCCAGTGTAGCCTGTGGTGCTGGGGATTGAACCCTGGTCCCTGTGCTTGCCTAAGCAGGTGGTTGGTCTGCTGAACTATCTTGCCAGTTCTCAAACTACTTTTTAAAGAACTACTTTACTATTCCCCCCCAACTACAAACATAATGGTTTAAATAATTTAAGACAATATGGTTTAATAAAGAAAACAAAGCCTACTAATTTTTCATTCAGAGATAACTATACCATTATTTTAGTACATAATCTATTTTCTATGCTTTAGCAACTTTTAAAAAGTAGCTGGCATTATAATCTTTGATACTCTGTAACCTACTTTTAAAAATTCATACATCATAGATATTTGGATGTACTGCAATATATTTTATCAAAAATCATAATTTAGGTTACCACTTTGAAATTAAAAAATAGTAATTTAATAATTCTTTGTGCAGACATCCAATCATTTACTTAAAAAAATTCTTAGGCATGCAAATGCTGGCATGAAGATTTCATAATGAGATGTATTAAGCTGTACCTGCTCATATTACTTTAACTTTATAGCACTTAAAAAGTCCTTTGCACAAAGTATTTGATGGAATGACTAAAGAATAAGAGGATCATATATGGAGTCACTTAACACTTACTAGTAAACTGTGCCTTTTCTAATCTGGGGCACAAATGTAAATTATGGTGAGGTAGAAAGATTTAGAAGACACAAGGTATAGTGCTGTGTGACTCTCTACAAATCACTTTTATTTCTCAAAGTTACTGAGAAAATCAAATTGAAAAAGATATATAAAGATTCTACAAAATTGCTCCAAAGAAGTCCACATTACATTAACCCAACGCCTTAAGTCAGGATGAACTTCAAGGATGTAGAATAACTTACCTCACTAATCAACATCAAATCAACTCTGCTGCTAATGCCAGTAAAATCTTATGCTCCTGAATCAGTAACTAAATTCCTATCCCTTTTCTCTTGAAGTTTTTTCTTCATGAAGTTTGCGGGATAGTTCTACAACAAATGAAGTGGGATCCCATTTCTAATTTGCTAGTCTCTCCTACCTAGAATTCTGTCCTCAGCTTGACACCTTCTACCTTCCCAGTGTCCTCTGTTAAGAACTCTCTCTGCTATTTCCTAAAACCTCTCTGGGTCCAGAACCACAGACAGACTGTTTGGCTCATCTGAACTATTTTTAGTTATTTCAGCAACAAAGAAACATCAACCTTCAAAATTTTCTGCTGCCAGAGGTAACACAAAAATTCTAATAAACTTAGTTAACATGTAAACACAAACTAGATCTCTGTATTTCTTACGTAGTTCTAAACACTTATTCTTAGGCTCTATTACCTATTCACCTCTTCAAGAACTCATCACCTAATCAAATAGGGTTACTAGATTCTCTTCTGAACAGGCCCAATTACAACTTGGCTCAAAAAGCCATTTCCATGCAGAATGCTTTGGTTAACAAAGTTAACTCTTCCCAAACCCTAATCAAAATATGGATCCCTTAGAAATCTTTCTGATTACATCTTTAGTGACCATTTCTGAACTTCATATTCCCCTATTAAACATCTTTTGTGGCACTATTATTCTATTTTACATTACAGTTCTGATTTTCTTTTGTTCAGATATACTCTAACATAGTAAGGAACAGCTACATGTAGCACTGTGGCACTTGAAATACAGCTCATTCAAGTTGAGCCTTATTTATAGCAAGTTCATAAAAAGATAAAACAGCATTAATTTTAAAATATTGATCACATTAAATTTTTACTTTAAAAAATATTTTTGGAAATATTTTATTAATTTCATCTATTTTTTATTCTTTAACACAGCTACCAGAATACTCAAAATTCAGTATTTCTATTGGACAGTTCTACTTTAGATCAGGGCCACAGCAAAGAGCTTGGCTGACTGTTACTCATACAAAGGCATTTACAAAAGTGGCAAAGACTGAAATCAAAGCCAACCTCTAATAATTAAACCAGGTACCCTACAAAGCTGTATTTGCTTATGGGAAAAGAACCTGTTATTTCATTCAGAAGTGTCATCCCCTAACCAAACTATGAACCCTGGGAAGCTCTGTGTTCAGAAGGCATGCTTTTTCTAATTTCCACAAAGACATACTATAATCTAGCAATAATCCTACCATGTCTTACTCAAGTTTTATCTAAACGTATCATGCCTTATGTTTTATCTACACATACTAGCTGAATGAGTACCCAACTCTACCTTCTTCAGACATGTCTTTGTATCATATAATATTGACTACCTATTTAGAAATTATAGCTTTCATGACTACCCACAAATCAACATTGACTCAAATTTTTAAGTCTTCTAGCACCACAAACAAGTGACTGTTTACTTTTCAGACCTTTATAGCTTTAAAGTATTTAGCCATTCCTAACATTGTATGTAAATAGACATTGTTCACTTTTTAAGAAGACTGGTATAAAAAAATATTTTAATCCCACAGTTTCCCTAACCAACCTGATTGCTTTTCTCCTTTTGTCTTAGAGCAACTGATCTTGGGAGATTTCACAATTTTGGAGGTGCTTGCGTCTGTCTTTAGTTTTCCTTTGGGAATAGAGTCTCTCCTATATTTAATAATGCTTTTTTTTTCTTTTATACTTTTTTGTGTAAATTCTTTGCTGTCCTTCTTAGGACTTATCTGTGAATCTGTCTTCTCATATTTACACAAGTTTTCTGTTTCCTCGGTTATTTTAAAATTATGTAAGTCATTTATATTTCCAGGATCCTTTTGATTCATTTTCTTGGTTTCCTTTTTTCCTCCCTCAATCACATTTTTTGAATCTTTTTTTGTCTGATGGTTTTTCTTCTTTATTTTCTGTTGATTCAGTGCTTTGCTATCTTCATCAGAGAGATCAGAATCAGAATCAGAAAGGTCATAGAAACGTTTTAAGTCCTCGGTAGTGCTGTGGGTGATGGGCCGTCCTCTTTTATCAACAGCATAGTTCAATTTGAACTTTTTGTCATGAAACATGGCTCGAAATCGCTTGTCAATTTTGACTTTTCGATCCTTTTCTGGCATTTCCCAGAACCTGGGATCCTTCGAAACACGCCTAAATCTCTGGTCACTCATTATTTCTTGTTTGGATGCCATTTTTAAAGTTTTATTGAAGAATTGTTCAAAGAAACCTAATACTGAAAAATAAAACATGTTACAGTAATGAAAGCTTAATTAAAATTTTAAAAAGCTATAATTCACAACAAAATGTAATTTTAAGGCAACTCAAGTAAAGTCCTAAGGTTTTATGGAGTGGAACAATGTTTACTAGCCCATTGCATTGAGAATGTATCTCTAGATGTTTAAGTTAAAAGTGAATGTAAGAGATTCCAAGGCTCAATGGGTCTCATTTCTTTACCTTCCAGTCATTTTCTGTCAATCTTTATCTCCTGCTACTCCCAACAGACTTTACTTCTACACAGTGCCCTAGTTAAACAGACCAAAATTAAAACAAACTTAACTTGCAAATGCTACCTCAAGAACCAAGTAAATAAAGCCTGACTCTAGTTAATAAATATCACTTCTTTTCTATGATTTTTTATTCTGAAGTGACTAAGGCACAAATAAATCCTCCATAAACATATATAAATTAGTACAGTTCCCTCATAAATAGTCTTTAATGGATTCTCTTCCCTGGATTTGAACTGTGCAAAAAGCCACACTTAACTGTTGGTTAGTTTTAACTGTTAATAGCAAAAAGACTGACCAAGCAAAATCAGGCTGCTTTACTTTAAGAAACAGGGACTGACATTCTAGCTGCTGTTTTACTTATATTTGGGGGGAAAATTACACACTAACCAAAAAAAAAAAAAAAAAAAAAAAAAAAAAAAATCAAATGTTTCACTTTTGCACTTACAAATTTTATAGTGCAAACACTTAAGTCTCCGAATAGTTTTTTTTTTTTTTTAGTACCAGGGATCGAGCTCAGGACGGGGCTTTGCCAGTGAACAGCTTTGGAACGTGGATAACACTCATCCCACTACCGTGGTAGAGGTAATACAGGTAAATATTTAAAACGAAAGCTCTAAACGTAGGGCACTTAGAGAACGGAAGACGGCCCGACCACAGCACTGATATGCCGGCATCCCGATAATACGCGCCCTCCCCTAACGCGGAGAAGCTTACATTGACCCCAGACCAAAGGGCTTCTTTCCTATCTCCCAATCCTCATGGGGAAGCCACTGGGCTGAGGTAACCTGAGGAGCAACCCTGAGAAGAACTAAAGAAGCCCGAACAAAGACTCCAGACAGGGAAAGAAGGCGTGTACCTCTCACAAATCCAAAATAGGTCGTGTCACAGATTGCTTTTACCCCTCTGTAGTCCCGACTGGCAGTTCGCAGGTCTCCACACACCACCTAGACTCTCAGCCTCACATGGAGCGCGCACCCACAATCCTCTGGGGGAGGTTCTGCGGCTACGGTACGCGAACCGGGCCAAACTGCTTTCATTTTGCGCAACCCTTCTACTTACCTCTTTGACGCTTTGTGTTTGCCGTGGCCGCGCAGCGCAGGCGCACTACAAAGTACTCCAGTAACTGGTTCTCTGACCCGAGATGCTGAAGGCAGGATGGCTCTGGCGTCGGTGGCTGAGGCGTGGGGCCGTAGGCGTCCTGGCAGAGAATCTTAGTTACCGAGAGGTCGCTTCGGGCGTCCCTCCCTTAGGCAGCACTTCTCCCGGAGCTCTAAATATCTTCGACCGGAGTTTGAAGAGGAAACAGAAAAACTGGGCGGCCCAGCAGCCCGAGCCGACGAGATTTGACTACCTGAGGGAGGAGGTGAGACCGCGCAACTGCGGAGGAGATGGCGCCGACCTTTAAGTCCGCAAGCTCCTGTTAGGCCGGACAGCCGCGCCTCAACGTGTGACCCTGAGCTGCAGCCTTGTAGCTCTGAGGCCTGTCTTACCAAAAGGCAGTGTTCGGGCATTTGTAGTGTACTGTTCATTCATTCACTTACACAAGTATTGATTGGGTTCTAAGTGGCCAGGGGTGCCTGGCTTGGTGGCGGTCGTACACCAGTAATCCCAGCACTCGGCAGGGAGGCTGAGGCAGGAGAATCGAGCTCGAGACCAGCCTGGGATACGAAGTGAGCTTAAGGCCAGGCTGAACTGCTTAGCAAGACTCTGTGGTTTGTTTGTTTTTGCTCCGAATGCCTTCAGGGCAGGTTTGGCTGGCTTCAGTTGTGGGGATCCAACCACAGCAACCTGAGCCTGACTGCTTTGTTGAAGCAGCCACTTAAAGAACTGAGCTAAGGGGCAGGCCCCCAAGACTCTGTTTTAAAAAGACCAACATAAAGTAAGTGACCAGAAGAAAGTTAGGCCGACTTTAATTGTAGAGGAGAGGGCAGACAGGCACACGCAAAAGGTAGTTTCAGCTACAGAAGTAAGGTTTGGTTAATGAAGAGGCTGACTGCGATGGTCAGGGATGACAGGTCAGACCTGAGGAATCAGGCTGTGGGGAGATCTACTGGGCAAAAGGAAAGACAAATGTGAAGCTCACCAGACAGCAAGGACCTTGTGATGATCTTCAGTGAGGAAGGGGTGGGAAAGGAGGTTAGGAGGACCCAGGTTATTAGGGCCTTATAGGGGAAAGACTGGATTTTCTTCATAGTCCCATAACGAGCTGTACTTATGAAATACACAATGGATTTCATCGGCTTACTTTGAAAAAAGGATGATAAATATGTAGTTAGTGATGTTTGCATTGATTATGTTAAACTTTTTGAAACTGGATGAAAGTTATAGATATTGAGGGCCAGCCAAATATCTCAGTGGATCAAAGCACCTGCAAGCAGGCGCAGGGGCTGAGGGATTGCATCCCCAGGCCCACCGTGCCGTCTCGGTCCCAGTGGCACGCTGAGACTGCAATCAAGACTGGGCATGGTGGCGTTGGTCTGTAATCCTTATATATCTTGAGTTTCAGCCTCTGGGTTACTTTAGGTGAACATATTAAGATCCCATCATATGTGTCCAAGATGAATGTCTAGGCTATATGTGAGAACCTTCTAGGCATCTGGGAGTAAGGACATGAAAACAGGGTGTCCTTGAGTTCCAAGTGTTCTTGGTTACTCCTGCAGCTGTTGCTGCCCTGTTTTCTTTTTCATTGTCCCACGTACCCTGCAGGTTATTTAGCATGCCTCTATATTAACTCTTTCTTATCCCAACAGGCTATATTTCACTTTTTTTTTTTTTTCTAATTTGTAAATGTTACTCAGGAAGTTGGCACCTATTTAAGAGTAATATAAAATGTGTAAGTTTTTTAAAATCTATTTAGTACAGTGTCTCACTACACAGATCGGACTTGTAGTTATCCTTCCTGTTTTTCAGCCTCCCAAGTGTTGGGATTACAGGCCAAGCCACCATGCCCAGTCTCAATTACCATCTCAGAGTGCCCTGAGGGCCAGACCAGCACAGCACGCCTGGGATGGAAATCCCAGTCCCTGTGTCTGCCTAAGCAGGCACTTTTGTTGGCTGGCTGATCTGTCTGGCCTGCCAAAAAATTTGTAAGTTTTTATTGATTGGCAACTTGTATTTTGATCTGTAATAAAGCTTAAGTAAGTGTTTCAGTTTCACAAACCTCATGTTAATCTGTGGGGATAATAATGTGCTTATTTTGTTCATGTTACTTTTCTTCCTTTTTTTTTTTGGCAGAACCAGGGATTGAACTCAGGCCCTTGCACTTGCCAGGGAAGTGCTTATTCTACTGAGCCATCTCCCCGGCCCCTCTTTTCTTCCTTTTGAGTAATGTTGTAATGGTTTGTGTCTAGTTGTCCCCCTAAAGCCTCATATAGTCATGGGATGGACTTCTAGAGGTTGTGATTAATTCATGATCCAATGCTGGGAATATGGGTGTAAATGCTGCTGGGCTTATGGGTGTGAGTGCTATACCCACCCTGGAGTAGATGGCCTGAAAGAAGTATAGGGAAAGGAAAGAGGCTTATTTCCTGCTGCTGCTGCCAATGCCCCTCCCTTTGCTTTTTGCTGTTTTCCGCTGCCATGAACTGCTACCCTCTGCTATGTCCCTTTCTGCCTTAGAGCCAGCTAAGTATGAACTGAAACCTCTACAAACTGTGAGCTAAATAAATCTTTCCTTCCTTGGGCTGGCCAGATAGCTCAGGGGATTAAAGCACCTGCTCAGGCAGACCCAGGGGCCATGGCTGGATCCTTTGGCCTGCCAGGTCAGTGCCTGCCCCGCCCCCGAGGCGCTCTGAGATGGCCACTGAGACTGGGCACGGTGGTTTGTGCCTGTAATCCCAGCACTTGGGAGGCTAAAAAACAGGAAGGATAACTATGAGTCTGATCTGTATAGTGAGACTCTGTACTAAATACATAAAAATAAAAATAAAAATAAATAAACCTTTCCTTCCTTAATTTTGAATGTGGGGTATTTTGTACCTGCCAGCAAAAAGAGAAAAGTAACTGAGACAGATGTTCAAGCCAAATATCTTAAGATACTTTAAAGAATATTTGATCTTAACCTCATGAAATTGACTTCAATATGTTTCCTGGTGTATTATGTTCCTATCTGAGAGTTGAAAGGACATTTATTGCTGTGAAGTAGAAAGAGGGATAAAAGGAAATACTCATCATGCTGAGGCATAAGTAACGTATGGGTTGTTGCATATGGGAGTGTTACTTTTCTGCTAAACCTGCTCAATGTATTTATATCATTGCCTGTTGTAATCTTTCAGGTTGGAAGTCAGATTGCAGACCGTGTGTATGATATAGCGAGGTAAGTGATGGTTAACATAATAAAGTACACATTTTTTTTTTTTAAGACAGAGTCTTGCTGGATTGCCTAGGCTAGCCTCAAACTCCTGGGCTCAAGTGATTGTCTTGCTCAATCATCTGAGTAGCTGGGATTTCAGGTGCATTCCCTCATGCCTGGTTAATATAATCAACTTTTTTTTTTTTGCGGAACCAGGGATTGAACTCAGACCCTTGCACTTGCCAGGGAAGCGCTTTTTCCACTGAGCCATCTCCCCGGCCCCAACTTTTTTTTTTTAATGTATTTAGTACAGGGTCTCACTACGCCACTCAGACTCATAGTGATCTTCCTGTTTTCAGCCTTCCAAGCTCTGGGATTATAGGTGTGTACCACCATACTCCTGCCCAGTCTTGCTGGCTGGCTCAGCACACCTGAGCGGAGCCAGGGTTGGCACAGCATGTGTTGCCAGGGATGGAATCAGTCCCTGTGGTTGCCTAAGCAGGCGCTTAGTCTGCTGAGCTATCTTCCTGGCCCAAAACAATCAACTTTTGACTAAAGCCTTGAGATTTTCATATTGACAGAGCTTGACATCTGGAATGGCAGAACCTGGTGATCCTTATTAACAGGATTTACCATTTGAGTCACACTGTGTCTCTTTATTGTCTGCAAGAGTAAATATTCTTTTTGTCATAGGAGCCTTAAAGGAAAAATAAAAAAATATGGAAGCATACTTGGAGCTCATGTTCAAGTCTGAACGACTGACCCACTTATTTTGGCCAAAAGACAGTAAGGAAAATTGCTCAAAAAACAGATTAAAAAGTCGACTTCATGTAAATTTTCATGATTTATGAAACCTAGGTGTCTTAATCACTTTTTCATTGCTGGGATGAAATACCTGACACCTGTAACCCTAAGACGGAGAGGCTTAATTTGGCATATATTTTAGAAGTTTCAGTTCTTACATGGTTGCTAGCATAACAGAAGGGCCTCATGTGAGGAAAGCTGCTCAACTCTGGGCAGCCAGGATAGAGAGGACCCAGGGAAGCAGATGGCTTTCCCAGTCATGCCCAGTAACCTGCCTCTTGGGATCAGGCCCCAACTCCCCACACCAACCTAGCTGTAGCACCCATAATTCAGTCACCTTCCACAAGCCTTACTCTGCACACATGAGGCTTTGGGGAACATCTACATATAAACAATAACACTAATTTAAAAGGTAAATTTAAAAAAGTAAAAGATACCTAAAGTTGTTTCTCAATTGGGATAGATGAGTCTTTGGTCTTTTTGTATTAATAATTGTTAATATTAGTAAGGAGTTTATAGCAGTTTTATAGACAGGATGACATGAGAAAAGAGCTTTTCTTTTTTTTTTTTTTTTTGTACTGGGAATTAAACTCAGAGCTTTACCTTTGGCAGGCAGATGTACCACTGAGTTATATCCCTGGTCCCATTTAGATCCAGGAGGTGGTTGTCATCTTTTTTTTTTTTTTTTTGGTGCCAGGAGTAGAACTCAGGACCTTGTGCTTGCCTGGCAGGTACTGTGTCACTGAGCTATATCCCCAGCCCGAGAAGAGAACATTTTGAACAACCAGTATTGAAATTTTGATGGAGCTATTGCTCTGTGTATTAGGCATAATGAAAAAATGTATAGATTGAAGTTTATGGCCATCTAGTGAGAGGTACAAATGATGGATTTATAGTAGAATCATTCAGTGATATTAGCAAAAGTGCTATTACCACTTTTTGTGTTCTTTTGTTTAAAATTCATCCATTGAATTAATCCCAGGTGGGATGAACTTTTTACACTTGACCATTAAAAAAGTAAATTTTGGGGCCGGGGAGATGGCTCAGTGGAATAAGCACTTCCCTGGCAAGCGCAAGGACCTGAGTTCAATCTCTCGTTCTGCCAAAAAAAAAAATAAATAAATAAATTTTGTAAAAGCACATGTTCCTTTAATCATATCTTAGATATATCTTTGTAATGTAAAAGAGTCTTGGGATAAAATAATTTTATTTTTTATTTTTTTAAATGTCTTTAGTACAAGGTCTCACTACACAGATCGGATTCATAGTGATCCTCCTGCTTTCAGCCTCCCAAGTACTGGGATTACAGGCATGTGCCACCACACCCAGTCTCAATTGCCCAGTCTCAATCACAGTCTCAGTGTGCCCTGGGGATGGGGCCAGCTCAGCATTCTGGGATTGAACCCTGTCCCAGCATCTGCCTAAACAGGCACTTTAATCCACTGAGCTATTTGGCTGGCCCTTAAAATAATTTTATAAAGTAAAAATAAGGCTCATTCTTGCAAATAACCCTGTATCCCCCATTTCCTGCAAATATCCCTATATCTCCAAATAACCCCAGTAATCCCCCATTACCTTTTTTTTGCATTTTATGTTTTCAGTTGTTTAATCATTTTAACAATTACCCAGAACACATTTTTCACAAACACCATAGGTACAATTAATATATTTTAGAAAGCTTCTTTTCAATACAGATGATTGGCTAAGAGATAAAGCAAGAAAGGTAATATCCAATTTTGGAAGTTTTTAGTAAGTAAGTTTCTCTTGCATACTTAGCAAGTTGATCAAGCTGACTACTTTCTCTTTTCTTAAAGACAGATATTTGCTGTATAGTTTGGGCTGGCCTTGAATTCATCCTGTTACTCAGGCTAGCCTCAGATTTATGGCAATCCACCTGCCTCTGCCTCTGTGTCTGCCTCCCACAGGCTGAGATGTTATTGTTTTGTTTTTCATGCTGGGAATTGAATTTAGGACCTTGCTCTTGCCAGGCAAGCACTTGTGTCACTGAGCTCTGTCCCATGTCCCATGCTGCGATTTTGGATCTGTACCATCGCACAAAGCTAGTTTCATTATTTTTAAGGTACACACATAAGCAAAAGCAACTGTAATAATCATCTCTCTGGATTATAGGTTGTTTGTGGTTCACTAAACAAAACACTAATTTTTGCAAGTCTATTTGGATTTTACAATTTTTATGTTATAGCACTGAGCAAAACTGACAAATCTGTGATTATCACTAAAAGCATGTTTTAGAAATTAAATATTAAATTAAATACTTTCAGTTAAATTATTAGCACTATATATCCTTGCATTAATATTCTAGTATTAGAGTAGTTTGTATTGTTATAATTGATGTTTTGTTGACTTTAAAATAGCTACAGACTTTTAAATGTCTAGATTGTGGGATCTGAGACTCATTTAATACCATTATAATCAGTAATAATAATTAACAACTATGTTTTGTTGAACATTTGTTTTGTGTTAATTACTTTGTATGTACTTCTTACACAACTTTGAGGGAGGCAGTATCTTTTTCATTTTATAAATGGGGCACCGTTAATGTCTAATTCCAAAATCTGTGTATTTAACCTTGCCATGCTGGTGTGTTCATTATCAAGTTATAAGGTGTTAGGTGCATACTGTCTGTTTGTCACTGAGGGCTCAAGTATTTCCTGGTGATCTGTAATTTTGACATCCTTTTTAAAGAAAAAACGTAATTAATAGGTAAAGTTTTAACTTCTTGTCATATATTGTCATAAACTTACGGCCTGCAATTAGACATCTCTACTGAGTTAGTAGGACATGGTATATATTTAGAAGAGACAACATAGTGTGGAGGATAATAGGTCTGGCTCATGATTGGAACCAGCTGAATCCATGAACAGATTGCTGCTCATTTCTTCAGGTGTTTGGCTTGACTTTCTTTGCCCTGGATATCTAGAACTTCTGATACCATACTTAGAACCTGGTAAGTTTGTTAGTAAATGTTTCCTCTTTAGTTTTTTTAAAGTTTAACATGTTATATTTCATGCTATTTGACATGAAGATTTTTAAGTGTTCTGCATCACCAATTTGAGGAAGGGATAAGCACTAAATCTCTGATTAGTATGCCAGTTCATTTTGTGTTAATTTGTATGTGGTCTCCCTATTTTCTTTGCCTGAATATATTGTTAAATTAAAATATTTATGTTAAATCTGTTCTTTAAATCTACATCATGAAGCCACCTTGCAGTAGGTGGTTCTTTATGTGGTTCTATGAGTGAATGACTAGATCAGACAGGCTTGTGTGCTCTCTGAAAGATACAGAAAAAAAAGCAGGTGATATTTGTGCTTGAGTTTGAAAGTTGCATTCACTGAAATGTTTTTACTTAAGAAAAATTATGTTTTGGATTTTTTTTTTTTTTTATAAACAAGAGTATAACTTGCTGTGTCTGTTTTTTAGAGATTTCCCTCTTGCTTTGGATGTTGGTTGTGGAAGAGGTTATATAGCCCAACATTTGAATAAGGTATATTTATTTACTTTGAGACTTAATTTATTTCAGAAATAAAAGTGGCTGATTTTAAAGATTTTCCTAATCATTTCAATTGAATACTATTTAGATTTGATTATTATCAGAATTACTGATTCATTTTATCAAGGATTTCTACTGATAGCATTTTGTTTAAATCCATATGTACTTTTCTTTTGCTCTTGGTTTGCTCATTTTTGATAATTCACAGTAAAAATTAGGAGCTTGATTGTAGTTTGGTGGTAGAACTCTTGCCTAATATGTTTGAGACTCTGGGTTGAATCCCTGGTACTGCAAAAAATAAATACATTTAAATTAAAGTTGACATTTATGTAGGATGTGATTAAACTTCTTTTTTTTTTTGGCAGAACCAGGGATTGAACTTGGGTCCCTGCGCTTGCCAGCCAAGTGCTTATTCCACTGAACTATCTCCCTGGCCCACTACTTTTTAAAACTGGAAAATCATTAATTTCATTAGTTAAGTCTTTATGATTACTTATACTATGTCAGTAGTATAAGTAGTCTTTATTATTGTGAATGGCACTTTATTTTGAAATTTCTAATTCAGATCATAAAGATACTCATTAAGTCTTTAGGATTCTGTGTATAGACACTGCTGGACCAAATGATTAAGATGGAATTTTATATGAAGTCTACTTAGATGAAAACACACATGTGGGTTAAGTTGAAAGAGTGAGGAGTTTGTGGGGCGTTTACAACATTATTATTGATAATAGTAAATGCCATAGAAATGGACAGGCATTAAAGTGTAAAAGGATTTAGAGGAAGAAAAGTATCAGTAGAAGCTCATGTGGTCTAGGCTTGTCAAAAGCACAGACCCTGATCTGGAATTTTAAGAATGTGGATTGATGATTCGTTTCATTGGAAGAATGGTAGGAAAGGTAAGAATGCTGTGGTATGTGATAGAGTGATATTTAAGGAAGATTTATTTGGAAGTGGCACACAAAAAGGATTAAAGAAAGAGAATAGAGAAACTGACCAATTAGGAGGCTGTGCTAATGGTGGTACAGGCCTGGGTCTACCACTTAACTGAAGGCGGTAGATACAAAAGACATAATGTAGGAGAGAGACCTAGTGAAACTCACAAAGCTTGATGACTGGATTAGCAAATTTTATTGTATTTCAGAATACATCTCTAGCTCTACCTTTACCACTACCAAATTGGTCCTAGCTATGATTGCCTTTTGCCTAGATTATTGCCATGGTTTTCTTCTTTCTCTCCCTGCATTTGCCCCGAGAGTATTTTCTTAGCACTGTAATTCTTTTAAATTATAAGTCAGATCATTCTTAGTCCTCTGTTCAAAACTGTTGTTTTCCCATCTAAGTCATAATCTGGGTTCTGTAGGACAATTCTTCATTATAGCCCTGCTACGTTTTTCCTGTCACTCTACTTTTTAGCAACTTTGGCCTCCTTACTTTCACATAGGCCAGAACTTCAAATACTTTTGCCCAAGATATCTTTGTGGCTTACCCATCTCTGTCAGATCTTTGCTGAAATAACATTTTATCTGAAATCTTAGTCTCTGGTTTCTAAAATAGTGCCCTGTGGTGGCTTAACCATTGGGCCCCTTGTAACACTCAGCTGAACTGAATCAGCATAGTTCTGCATATAGAAGGCCCACCTGACCATCATTGCTAAAGACATAAAAAGAACTGGAGGGGAAAATGATGTGCTTTTGATTCACCTGGGGAAGCTTGGTATGCTGGTTTTCCTGATGTGAACTCCACTGTTTTCAAACTGGGGGATCTGAGGTCCTGGCTGAGGATAGCTGCAATTCTTTTTAGGGGAACTGACTTAGAGCATGGTTCCTTTCTTTGAGCTTTGCTTCCTGGCTCCAGTGCAGATCCCTCAGCTTGCTGGCACAGATCTTTCATCCTGCCTATACAGACTTTCTAGCTTACACCACTGACCTTTGGGTCATCCCAGTGCAGATTCTTGATGGAGACTTGCATGAGACATTGTCTTGGCTCTGGGCCTCTATCTGGACTCAGTGAGGACATTGCCAGGGACTGTAGGTCTTCAGCTGGACTTGTGCAGGACATTGCCTTGGGATCCAGGTCCTCAGCTAGATTCTTTGGGTCTCACTAGTGTGTGGACAGATCACTTACACTCTTCTGCCCTTGACATTTTAGGTGAATATTATATATATATATATATATATATATATATATATATTATAGAGAAAGAAATAGCATTGAGACAGTTTCAAAGGAGGTTAGTAGGACAGTTACAAAAATATATCGCATATTGTTGTCTTTGTAGTAATTCATTGTATAAGATGCAAATATAATATCTTGTCTAAAAACTATTAGTACAAATCTTTCTTCTCATTTAGGTGGTTATTATAAATTATGTGTCCTGTATTAAATCTGTTCACTTGCAGCCCTGACTACAACATGCTCCCACTCTTTACTGGCTAATTGCGATAGCATTGATTAATCCCCAATATATTTTTGTTTGATGTCTGTCTTCTTTTACTGGACCTGCTAATTTTTGTTCATTATTAAATTCCTAGAGTAAAAAATGAAGATTTATTGAATCATTAATGAGTGAATAAATGCAAGATAACTTTGAGGTTATGACTTTAGTGACTGGGAAAAGTTGTGATGTAGTAGGACAGAGAACAAGGGATTTTTTTTTCTCTTTTAGACAGTGTTTCAGTTACTCTTCTCTCATTGCTGAGACAAATATCAGATGCCCAAAATGAAGGAAGGAAGGGTTTATTTAGCTCAAAGTCAATGGAGGTTTTAGTTCATACTCGGCTGGCCGCAAGGCTGAGTGGCACGTGGCAGAGGGTAGTAGTTCATAGGAGCAGCAAAGAGCAAGAGCAAAAGGGCATGAGCAGTGGCTACAAAGAGCAAATCTGTTTCCCTTAAGCTGCATTCAGGCTGTCTGCCCCAGGCTGGGTGTAGCACTCACACCCATAATCCCAGCAGTATTCAGACCCATAATCCCAGCCTTGGATCATGAATTAATCACAAACTCTAGAAGTCTGCCCCATAACTACATGAGGCTTTGGGGGAACAACTAGACACAATCCATAACAGATAGGTGGAGTTTAAAGTGTCAGAGAAATATATTAATATTAATATCTGTAAGATAGAGATGGGGAATTGGAATTGGGATATTGAGGTTAAGAGCATCGACTTGAAGTTTTAAAGATAGGGGTTCAGATTTTCAGTCTTGCCATTTGCTCTCTGTTTATCCTTGGAATAGTTATCCTATCCTTTTATACGTCACTTTCTATAAAATGTAGGCAGGAATACTTCAAAAGAATGGCAAAAGGATTGAGACAAAGTAAATCTGGCAAAGTAGAAATTGTGGTTATTTGGAAATCATTGTTAAAGGTGACAACTAAAGCCATATGAATTGGTAAGCTGTTTAAAGCAACAATATAGAGAAGAACCATCCACAGTTATACTTAGAGGTGAGAAAATAAGGAGGCTGCCAAGTATAGTAAGGTCAGTGTTATCTTAGGAAGGCATTAGCCTTCTCTTTTTTTCTTTGTGGTGCTGGGGGTCACACCGAAGCTGAGGCAAGAGTTCTACCACTGAGGCTTATCCTTAGTGGTTATAAGAAGCAGAAATCCTTTAAAACTGAACACAGGGGCATTTTGTTACATAGAGGATTTTATATAGCTAAGGAATCTTCAAGTACAGCAGGCCTTACAAGGGAAGGGACTTTGAAAACCCATTGTGAAGGTTCTCTTGGTTATTGTGTTTTCTAGGATTCCATGGATGTTAGATAGCTGCCTTCATTCTTTTTTCTTCCTATTGACTATTGCTAGTCTTCACTGGTATTTGTGGCTGTAATATAAATATACTACATCCAGTGGAGAGCTAATGCTAGCTCAGATCAGCTTATAAGAACTCAGTGTTAATCTCTTCCCCATTTCTGTAGTCAGTGACGTTGTACTGATAGAGTAAATCAGCCATGATGGGAATATTGACCCCGGGGAATTTGGAAATGATACAAAGAAGTTCCCTACTGATTCTCAACTGTCTTAACTCACCACCGTCTCAACTCTGAAGTCAACATGCTCTAACTCAGGGACCTCTGCCCCCACCGCTTGAATCTCTTCATTTAGATTTTCAGGTGGGAGATACATCATCAAATTGACCTAATTCTTTACTCCTCAGGAGAGTGCGCTGCAGCTCTGCCTTTGTCTAGCTCTATACCTAGCAGCTTCGTGTTGGTAGCCTGGTACCTACATTTCAGTAACACACCATGGAAGTTGCCAAATAGTCTCCCCACCCCCGCTTCTAGGAGCTTGTCCCTAAACATTTATCTGCAGTTAACCTCAGGTAGTCAACAGGGACTGTATTCAGTGGTTGTTCTCTGTGGTGTGGTTTATATGCCCTTGCTAAGTTACAGGCAGGCAAGAGCAGATATGAATGAACTGAAGAGATCAGCTTTTCTAATAAAAGCATGAATAGAAAGCACTAAAGAAGTTTCTAGTAGATGTTAGACAGTGCTGTGCTTCAGACTGTTGCACTGTGCCTGTCGGAAGGGTAGGCAACTTGGTGAGACTATGTCTCAAAATTTTGGAAGACTCTAGAATTGCAGCTTATTGTTAGGGTGTACATGGTATACATAGTATGCACAAGGCCCTGGGTTCCACCCCTTATTACCACAAACAAAATAAAAACAACTCTGTACTTCAAATAGGTCAAGTGAGACAGCACTGAAAGCAGTGAGAGCAGACTACTATGTTCCCACTTAGACAGTGACCTCTAGAAATAGCTTTGGAAAAGCAGTGGAAGAAAAGATTGATTACTGACTTTGGACAAGGACCACAATGTGTAGATTCTTGGCTTTTAAATCAAACCACTGGAATGTTTGGTTTATGCTTGTTGAAAGAGACCCAAACTGTTTTAAGATTGTCAGGGGTTGCAGTAGAGAGGCAAGATTCTGAAAGAACCCAGTGGGAAGTGGTAATCTGGGGCAGAAATAAAGAGTATCCTTTCTTCTTGAAAGGGAGAGAGGATAGATAAAACAAGAGAAAATAAAACTCATAAGCCCCAACTCTTAAGTTTCTGTGTGCTAAGTCGTTACTCTTTGAATAAATAACTGAAAGCAGGAAACTCATATGAGGAGGGCCGATGTGGCACAAGAGTGTAAAAACTGGCTCTCAGCTTAGGTCACACAAAAGTTACCAAAGAAGTTCTCACTTAATGCAGTAAAGGGTGTTAGTGTTCATATTTGTATTTTGTTTTATTAACTGAAGTTAAATACATTAAATATAGTTAGCTGCATGTTTTTAAACCTGTGTAATTTATTGTGTATTATGTACTAGTGTAATATGCAAAGAGACTTATAGAGCTAAAAACCAATCTATAGTTAGCCCTTTCTCCTTTAGAAATTTCAACAATTATGTTTTATTTTATTAATGTTGTATTTATATATTTGCTTGTTTTGTGGCATCTGATCAATTTTAATAATTCCTTTTCAGGAAACAATTGGAAAGTTTTTCCAAACAGATATTGCAGAAAATGCTTTGGTAGGTGGCTTTTTAACATTATTGGTTTGAATCTCCTGGGGTATTTTACTTTTTATTTCCCTCACAATAAAAATAGCTTTCATTTTTCTCTCTCACTGTACATGTAACACACATGAAGGACAATTATATAGTGTAGGAAATACAAGGGAGAAAGGAAAAATCACTTTGGTAGTCCTTCCACCCAGAGACAGCCACTGTTGAAGTTTGATGTTTATCTTTGGAGATGTACAACTATCCCCTCTACCAGTTTCCTATGAACAATATTAGGCTAACATCGTATTTTTTACAAAATGTCATTCCTTTCAGTAAATATTGTGTATATAGCTTTTTAAGTGATTATATATTTCTCCAATGTATGAATGTTAATTTAGCTGGATTTCTTTTGAAAGGTGTCTTATTTATATTCTCAGTACTAAAAAATGTATTGAATATCCTTCTTGTGAAACAACTGTGTTTTATTTTTCTACCTAGTATTACATTCTTGGTAGTGAAATCTGAGGATTCACTGATGTCAAGATGTCAATGGTGGGCCGGCGAGATAGCTTAGCTGCCTAAAGCACCTGCTTGGGCAAGCTCAAGCAAGTGCCCATTGACAGTGGTTCGATCCCCGGCACCACATACCATGCCAGCCCCGCCCCCAGGGTTAGCTGAGCTGGCCAAATAAATAAATGAAATAAAAACTTTAAAAAAAAAAAAAAAGATACCTATGAAGTTAACTAAGGAAATTTTAATATAATATTGATTTTGTTTTTAGTCTGA